GAGAAAGTCCTTGCCTGTGCCTATGTCTTCAATACCTTCCCCAGTTTTATCTTCCAGAAGACTCAGTATTTTTATTTTAATATCTAGGTCTTTGATCCATTTTGATTTTATTTTAATACAGAGAGAGAGAGAGATGGGTCTATACGCATTCTTCTGCATGTGGAAAACCAGTTTTCCCAGCTCCATTTGTTAATGAAGCTGTCTCTCCTCCAGCATCTGTGTCTGGTCCTTGTCCAGGACCAAGTAGCTAATGTGCCTGTGTTTGTTGCCATTCTCTGTCCTGTTCCATCTGATCACCATGTCTGTTTTTGTGCCTGTTTCATGCTCTTTGTAGACCTATAGCTTCGTGGTGTGATTTGGAATCCAGGATTGTGATGTCTCTTGGTTTGTTCTTATAGCTTGGGGTTGGATTTACTCTTCTAGATCTCATGCCATATAATTTTTTAGAATTGTTTTTCTTAGTTCTTTGAAAAATTCTGTTGGCTGTTTTGACAGTATCAGCTTTACCTATCCAGGAAGAGGGGAATATCTGTCCATTTTGTGATGTCCTCCTTTATCTTTTTTATTTTTCAAAACACTCATTTTTATTATAGAGGTCTTTAATCTTTACCCTGATTAGGTTAATTTGTAAGTGTGTAATTTTTTGAATGGGATCTTTCTCTTAATTTCTTTCTGGGTGAGTTGATTATTGGTGTATAGGAAAGCTATTGATTTTTGTATGTTTTGTCTCCTGCTATTTTTGTAAGTTTGTTTATTAGTTTTAGGAATCTTTTAGTGGAGATTTGTCAGTCTTCTGTGTAAAAGATTGTGTAATTTACAAATAAGGATAATTCAGTCCTGTTCTATATATATATTCTGTCTATTTTTTTCTCTTGCTTGATTCCTCTGAGCAGAGTTTCAAGAAGTATATTGAGGAGGAATTGTGAGAGTGGACGCCTTTGTCTTATTCATGATTTCCGAGTAAAACCTTTCTTCTTTTTCTGCTAATCTGTTACTTGTTTCTTAATCCAAAGACATTGACATACTAGGATTAATGGTCACACTTACTGTCTATTCTGATTCAAAAAATGAAGAACATGAATGCCCCAACTTGGCCCAGTGTCCAAGCCAGATCCCACTGTCCATGGCCATAGAATAGCCACAAGAGAGAAACATGGCTGCTAAAAGCACATTGCTGTGGCTTGAGGGTACACAGGGGTAGCTCTAGATAAAGGAGAATTTAGACACTGAAATTATCTGTGCAGAGAGACAGAGTCAAACAAGCAGTCACATAACAGAAGCTGGCCATGTGTCAGAGAAATGGGCATTGAATACAGACCCACGGCCCAAACAGGAAGAATTTTATACAACTTTGCCTGGAGCTGTTGCTGCAAGGCATGACCATGGGATTAATTGGATTCAATTGGATTAATTGGCGTTGATTGCACAGTGTGACCATAGGGCTAACTTGGCAATGTGTGGATCCCAGATAGATCATTTATCAACTGTGCAACTGTGGAAATATTTCTTGAACTCTGTCTCTCACTTTTTATACCTGTAAAGTAAAACTAATAATAATTTCCTAACCATATAATATGATCATTTTGCCACAGTAAAATAATGCATATAAGGCATTTAGTATAGTGCTTAACATTTGATGTTAAAAGCATGTTAATTATTATTATTATTTTAGGCACTATGTAGCATCAATCTATACTTCGCTGATCCTAGGGTTCTCCTTTGTACAGTTTATTTGTTTTCATGTTATAACTTTTGTGATTTCCAAAAATTTTAAGACTCAATTCCCTCTGTAGGGTCTAGTGTTTGGGGCTTATTTTGGTTCGTTTGTTTGACTCCTACTGAAAGCCGAACACGGAAACTCAACAGAAACCAAACTGAATTGGTATTCTTTTGTTCACTAATTTTTCCACTCATTAATGTTCTTAACTTAATAGCATTAACCTTTTCTTTCAACTTCAGTCAGAAACCAGGAGCGATAAGAAGTACAATTTCCAGAAGATCTGGGTCAGTTGGTTTGAAGCCACTCCTGGCTTCCCTTTCACACCTTAAGTCTTAGCATTCATCAGATTCTATTTGTCTTTTTCATAAAATTATGAGCATGAAACTAATAATTTATGGGGACTAAGGTGCCAGAAACTATTATAAGTACTTTTATAAATTTGAATCAATTTAATCCTCCTAGCTGCTTTCTGGGATGGAGATACTATTTTATTCTCTTTTTTAAATATGGAAACCAAGACTTCAAAATGCAGTAACCATCAGGGTCACTGCTAGCAGGCAGCAGTGAGCAGCCACCCAGACTCCAGGGCCCTTACTTCCGACACCCAGGCACACTGCTGTTCTTGGTCAACCTCCGTCATCCCGCTCTCTGTCTTTCCATTGCTTCCACCACGACTTGGGCAGTGACTCACATTACTTCACACTTGTGTTACTGCGGTAGACTCCTAGTAATGCACCATGACTCTCCTCATTGTGATACAACTTGGAGCCTGTTGCTAAATTGTTTTTGCCTACACACTGATTCTCACATGTCACTACTTTGTTGTAAAGCCTTCTATGACTCTCTGTTGCCTGTGGCATATGAAAAACTTTCATCCTTGAATTTTTAGATTTTATGTAATCTGGTCCCTCACCATCTATTCAGGATTATTTGTCATCCACCCCTCCACAAACACACTATTCATTCATGCCCCTGGGACTTTATTCATCTCTACAGGTCCAAACTTTGCTAATATAAAAATATCGTGGCTCTATGAAGTCCTGCTTTCTGATCTCTTTAATGGAATGTGACCTTTCCTTCCCTAGGACTCTGACAGAACTATCTCTGTGCCCTTCTTATGAGACCATTTTGTGCTCTGTGCTACAGTTATTTGTACACTTTTCTCCTGTCTCTTTGTTGGCTTGTTGAAGACAGGCCATGAACATCACTAATTTTCAGACCTCCTTTGGTGGATTTTTCAATGCAAAGCAGGGAAAAGTAGTCAATACATGACTACAATTAATATAAGGGAATTTTAGCTCTATCACCAGAGCATTCCTCCTTTTTCTTTTTGCTTTGTTGAAGATTTTCACACACAGAAATCTCATTTCTTAGCCAAGTGTGGTAGGGATGTTTCTAAGACAAGCGTTCTGGGAGGCTGAAGCATGAGCTCATAAGTGAGCCCAGCCCAGGCAGTTTGGTGACTAGAAGAGATCCTGTCACAAAATAAAAAGTAAATGAGCTAGAGACTTAGCTCAGTAAGAAGGCCATGGGTTCAATTCCTAATGCCACCAAAAACTAAAAATAAACAAACCCAACAACAACATAATCTTCACTTCTTGAATAAAGTTCTCTTGCTGCTCCAGTTCCTAACAAAGTTTCCTTTCTCGGAATTCTTGTAACACTAAATATTGTTGCCATCTTTGTCTGTGCTTCTCATTGTAACAATATATCTTAGACTGGGTGGGTGAAGTGAACTTCTGAAAGTTGTGGAGGCTGGGAAGTCCAAGAGCGGGATGGGGCAGCTGTGGTAGCTGCAAACAGACTTCTCTGCTTCCAAACGGTGCTTCCTTGTGATGCTTTAATGTGGAAGAAAGCAGCCACAAGGGAGGAGCACAGTGCACTGCTGTGGCAGAAGAGATGGCTTTCCAGGGCCCTGGTGACCCTCTGAATCCTCTTTCCAGTAGGTCAAGCCATCACAGCTTAATCACTTCTCAGCCGGTCCCATTGCTTCATGGTACTGTATACTGTATCAGGGTCGTCAACATGACTTTTGGATGAATGCAGATATTCAAACCACAGCACCGTACCATTTGCTACCTTTTTCATTGCTTCATGTGGCTGCACATTGTTCATGTATTGCTGCACATGTCTGGTATATACAAAATCTCAAGAAATAGTTGTTGAATACATGACTAAGTCAGTCTCGCTCACCAGTTCTAAGGGCCCTTAAAGAGCAAATGCACCTGATATGTCTTCTCTGCCTCCTCACACCTCTTAGAGTATAATAAGGACTGAATGAATATCTACTGACGGACTGGCTCACGGGTTTCTGTTGCAAATCTGTCCTGGGTTCGCTGCCATTTTGTCCTGAGTGTGATTACACTGCTCTTGAGTTCTCTGACTACAGTTTCCCAGCCTGCCTCTGGTGAGGTTACTAAGACATAGAGAACTTCTTTCCAGCCCTTTTAAAAGTTTTGTCCTTAATGCAGAACCAGACCTTCTTAATGGGAAAAATCTGTAGACAAAGAGATGGAAATACTAGGCAGTTGAGAATTGCAACTGCAGACGTTTGATTAGAAATGACCCCATCGTACTTGTACTGTTACTTGGCATGGAGTTGGGGAGAAAAAAGCCATGCTGTAGGTGCCTTGTATCACCAAGGAGGAGGGTGATGCACCCCAATCAGGAAGGAACAGTGAATGACCAAGTCATCTTCCAAACTGGCATGAAGTCTTCCAGTGGATGTAAAACATCAATACAGATAACATTCGTATACTACAATAATAATTTTTATAAATTGCCCAGCCAGTATGGTAGAGACAAGCAGTGGCTAGCATTTGAAAGTCTTCAAGGAAAGCCTGAACTACTGATTAATGCAAGGAAAGGGAGAGCTGAGAGAAGCAGGGCCTCTCACATGAGAACATGCGTGCTCTCACATATGCTCAGCAGCACTAGGTGCTGGGAGATGGTGGAAAAGCTTGGCAAATCAGAGGGGCAGCAGGTTTGGCTACCATGGGTGTCTCTCCACTGATGGGACTCTGTGCAGTGGGGAGCTTTGTTTGTGGAGTTTGTGGGCTGCAGTCCACAGCCTCTCTTTGCAGTCTTGCATCTAATTAGTAAAAGGCAGTGCTAGCTGGAAGCAAGTCACACTGGGTATTTCAGAAGACAGAAAAAGGAATTGAGCATTGCAGCCAACAGAATTGCCAAGATGCAGATCTTTTAAAATTAATATTGTATGTTTATTTATTTGCTATTTCACTGGCTTACATGCTTAAAGAAGTCTTTGTTTTAAATGCAGGTAATCCAAGGACATACGACCCAGATTTTAAGGGCCCTGTTGTCAACAGGTAAGAAATCCTTAAGATGTCTGTTTTTTGTTTTTTTTTTAAATTTTGAACCTCAAATAGCTGACTTTGTGGTTACCATTTCCTAGTCAATGAAGCATTGTGTCTACTAGAAAGTAGACATGACTTATTTCTGCCTAAATGTCACCTCATTTCACAGGAAAAGTACAGAGAATAAATCTTTCCATGAATCATGAATATTCTTCCCTGTTCAGTAAATGAACTGCCTTAAGCTTTGATAGTTTGTATTTCTTGAAAGAAGCAGCCAAAAAAAAATTGTTTATGAGACTTAATCACTTTGTGGAGCAGCAAACCCAGGCAAGGGCTTGTTTGCTGCACCTGTGCACTGTGTGATTCAGCGCTGCGGGTATGAGGTTGCTAGGCCAACTTCCTCCACACCAGGTATTGGTGCTACTGAGCTCCCAAATGCAGAGCGCTTTCTCAGACACTATCGTTCACCCATGAATCATGCACACTCAGGATTCTCTAAAATGCTCTAGGAGATACAGTTATCTCAGCTTCTGCTCCCCCTGCTCTGAAATTGTACAGCGTGTAAGAATTAGCAAAGAATTCACAGTTCTCTTATTACTGATTTGACCCTCCGCTTCTGGGCCTCTTGCGAATCAAAAAGGATGGTGGTGGAGAGGAACCGCTTAGTATGAAGTGGCTATGATGCTGTTGGCAGCTTGTTGTTGCTTAGCACTGACTTTTATTTTTCGCAGTTGTGTCGTAATAAACTTGGATGAAAAATTATGATCCACATGCTCGTTTGCGCTGACCAGTCATCAGTCTGTGTGTGAGTGTGGACTGTTATGCCCCTGGATGCCCCGGCTTACACAGGTGTCGGATCAGTTCAGGAGAATTCTGTGAGCAGAGTCTTCCTGTTCAGGAGCGTGCCCAGGTGCACGCAGAACCAGTGGGCCTCCTTTAGAGGGAACCTGCAGGCTTGTTCTCTCCACCAGACACCATTGAGGCATTTTGTTGTCTGGTGTGCAAACAGTCGCATTCAAAGTGGTGGTTCCTTTTAATGTAATTGCAGTCACTTTACAGAACTAATTTGTGAAGATTTAATGTAGCCACTGGCCTCAAGGGACTACTAGCTCTAATTGAGATTCGCCAGTGATGATGATTATAATAAACAAGCTGTCATATTTGGGCAGAGGAAATATGGACTCCAAGTGTGGCTTTCTTCCATATGGGGAAGACAGAGGGTTAGGGCTGGCTGGTGTTACGTAGGAAAGAAAGCGATTTCCGTCTTCATTCGCTGTCCTCTGCTGCATAACATTTTGGTCAACAATGGACCACATATACAATAGTGGCCCCTAAGATTATACCACAGGTAAAAACTCCCTGTCATGAGTGATGTCACATCCATCCCAGTGCAACACACTGCTCATGTATGTGGTGATGCTAGGGTAAACAAACCTACTTAACTATGTTTAGTTACACAGACATTGTTAAATTATAGTTACCTACAGCGTGCACTTCAATAACATACTGTGTAGATTTACAACCTTGAGCAATAGGCTATGCCATACTCGTACACCACGCAGCCCATGCAAATCATGGCTTATAGCACCTAGGTTTGTGAAGTACACACTATGATTTTTGTTTGTTTCTTTTGTTTTGTTTTTGTGCTGTGAATTGAACCCAGGACCTTGTGCTTGCCAGGCAGGCACCATACCACTGAGCTATATCCCCAGCCCCTCACTATTATTTTTCCCCAGTGGAAATCTCCTCATGACACATTTTGCAGAGCAGATACCCACTGTTACATGACTCATGACTGTTGGGAATTTAATGATGGAACCAGTAGTCCAGTGAAGTCTGAATGACTCTGAAAACCTCTAGGAAGAAGAAATCAGATGCTGTGGGTCAGGTATAATGGTCTTTGGGGTGTCCCAGGCACCACAAAGGTCTTCAAATGTGTGTTGGTCCTTCTGCGGAGGTGTCTTCACCTTTGGTCCAAGATCAGAGAAAGTGTTAAAGTACAGGACATAGCTACATGAAGCCGCTGTAGCCTTGTTAGTCATGTTTTTAGGCAGTGCGCTCTGTCATGCTCTCTAGGACAAGACTGGAGCATTTAAAGAACAAACGAGAGGTGCTGTGGTTGGAGTGTAGTGGCACAGCATTTACCTAGCAGGCCCTAGGTTACAAATTAATTAAAAACAAGGGAGAACCCCCAGTTCTTTGCATTGCCTCTCACAGCAGGGCCAGCTTTGATTGCACCTTGTGCCGTGCTGCCAAGAGCCAAGGTCTCATCAGTGCGCAGGCAGAGCCCCCCAGCCCTCGCTGCAGCCCCGCCAGCCTCCTCTGCACCCCTTGCCCTCTCTGAGTTCCCGAGGATGCATTTTATGGCTTCACATGAGTGTCTCCTTCCCTCCCATCTGTGCCACACTAGGTGTGTGGGAGCAGTCACACCACAGTAGTGACACGAGCTGATGCTGCTAGGTGAAGTGTTTTCCCAGCAACTTGGTGAAATGTGGGTCTCCAGGCCTCGTGCTTTTTCTACTATTCTCAACAGAAATAAAATAAAATTAAATTAAAAAGTAAAATAGAAGACTGATTGGTGTTGGACTGCTGCTGTAGAAATGGAAGCATTATTCAGCACTCCTCCTGGCCGTGCATCACAGGGTGGAAGCCCATGTGCAGAGAAACCTGAGGAATCAAAGCTCTTTCATAAAATGATACATGAGAAATTTCTCCTATAATTGAGAACTAAGAAAAATTTTCATTTAGAGGGAAATTGCTGTGCTTTCTTCTGTTAGATAAGGAAAATTGTGTAATCCATGGTGTTTCTTTTCTTTTTCCTTCCTTTCGCCCCATACTGGCTGTAGAAGCCCATTGCTTATTTACTTTCAATGCCAACAACTGTATTAGCCTTTGGTTCCAGAGTCTCTTTTCAGAACTTTGACTTTCTATTTCTATTTTAATAATTCTGTCCAGGTGCTGTGAGTCATTTCAAGATCCTTTCTGGACAAAAGGCATCAAGTGTGTAGGGTGGGGAATAGAAATGAAAGCTTTTCATGTTACACAAGGGCCTCTTCCCCTTCAAGCACAGCATGGATGGAGAACACATCAGTTGTGCCAGAGAAATGGGTAGGGGACACAGTACTGAAAATAACTGTAATGAGAGAAGGGTGTAAAACGATCTAAAGTTTAATGGAATGCACTTGATTTTGTCTGAAGCGTTGGACATTGATAAGCTCACTAGCATGAGAAGGTTCAAGGGGAAAGAGAAGGGCTGTTGTTAGGCATACCTTGGCGGGGTGCACTCACAGGGAGTCGGGTGACTAAAGGGCCCTGAGTCTTCTGCTGTCCTGAGGTTCTGTGACACTGGGGCTGGGGTCTTCATGCTGAGCCTCCTGCTTGCTCTTTGGAATTCTGAATGATGTTCTCAGGAAGACATCTTCAGTTAATGCGATTCCAGCGCTACCTCCTGGATTTACACAGCTCTCTGGTTTGCTTCTTTTGGGGCTTGATGGCACTCTGCTTGTCCCTGTAAAGGGCACTTAGAAAAGCAGGTTCATATCTATAGGGAAGTATGAGGAAAAGGGTGTAGAAAGAAAAGCACACAAAGCTCAAGCAAAAGAATGTAAGTCTCTGGGCTCAGAAAATGGCTCAGTGGAATAAGCATTTCCCTGGCAAGCGCAAGGGTCTGAGTTCAATCCCCGGTTCCGCCAAAAAAAGAAAATGAAAAAAAAAAAAAGTAAGTCTCATGTAAAAGTGTCTGAAGAAATGAAAAACCATTTGGATTTGGAAAATAGTTTGAAATAAAAAGCCAATGTCTGTAGCACTTCGTTTGAAAACTTTAAAAGTGTCAAAATGTGGCAGGACATGAAAGGAAATAAAAATATATAATTGCCTTGAGTGGCTGACTCTTCCGAATGTCAGACGGAGTAGAAGGTCCATAAAAGTGGCATTTATACTCATTCAGAATGAGCAAATGGTGTAAAGCAATCAATTATTTATTAGTGTGACTCCTGTGCCACAGGAAAATACAGACTAAAGTACTTCTTTTGTACTCCTAGCCATCCCTTTTGTTTCCCATATGAAAAAATTATACTTCTGTATTTCTATTTTTACATTTTCAAATGTCACTACCTTCTAATGATTACTGATGTTGAAGTTCCTCAACCTTAAAATACATATGTGCCTTTATATTAGGGCACTTAAAGAAAAATATCTTTTGGCTATGTACTTCTTTCTGTTTTATTTTTCAAAGAGAATAAAAATAGCAGAAGAATTAGAAATGATACAGAATTTCACTAAACAAAATGATAGGAATTCAACAATGGTTGTTATGTTGCATATTGTTGTCTTCAAATTAGTTGTTCAAATTACCAGATACAAACATGCAAAATTGGTCAAAAATGAAAAAAAAGTCATTCAAGCATTAACTGTTCTTTTCATACTCATAAGTGAGATAAATCAGATGCACATGCGTAAGTATCGCGTTGGCTCCCAACTAGCTATGCATTCTTGTGTGCCAGGTACTGCACCAGACACTCAGAATAAGAAGATGCCCTGCGCTAAGTTCCTGCTCTACATGCTTGCAAGTTAGCAGGAGAGGAAGATGATAAAGGGGTGGATGTGGTCAGGCAGCTAATGGAGCTCTTGACTGAAGCTCTAGAAATGAACATGTGCAGAGTTGGCAAAGAGGGAACGGGAAATCTAGGAGCTTCCCAGCAGGGGTGACCGCTGAGCTTGTGCTTAAGGCCTTGCCCAGAAAGGTCAGTGGCATGTGTCAGAGTAGGGAGGCCCATGCACACTTGTGCTGGGACTGTGTTGGTGTGAGCGGGACACCGAGTGCTGCATGAGTGGTGAGGGGCATGAGTATCAGGAAGGAGGGAGGAGGAGGATCCTGGAGAGGCAGGGATGCGACAAACTGCCAGAGACAGCCAGCATCCATATATATAGCACTTTATTCTCTGGACGCTCCCTACTGAAAAACGTTAAGCAAAAAATGGGTGTGTCTCAGGAGGAGGGTGACTCTTGTCGAA